AAGATTTGGACTAGATGAGCCAGGCGGTCCCTTCTATATCTACGTCTATGATCCTATGATTACTAGGGAAAAATCTTTGTAGTAAATAAAAATATAATATAATATATAAATAAGTATAGAATGAAAATTAAATAATACAAATCTGACATCCATAATGCACATAATATATGTAACTGATGCAAATTTACAGTGGATAAATGGTCAAATAATACAATTTTTAGAGTAGGAAATATATTGTTTATAATTATTTGAAAAATTGTTATGTTATAATTAGAAATCCAAAGTTAAACAATTTTGAAGAATTATCTTAAACCTACAAAATTGTTAATACTTAAGAGTAATAAAATGCAATGTTGGAGAACCTGTAAAGAAATGAATAATCTAATATATTGGTGGAATTGCAATCATTTATGATATTTGGTGGTATTAACATTTTTTAGGATGACAATAAATATGGAAATATACAAGAATTGCAAAACTGATAAGTCCTTCCATATTTATTATTACTCCCTGTTTCTACTAGGACTATATTCTAAGGGAGTTATGAAAAAGAATATATCTGAACAAAAATATTTATAGCTGCTTCATTTGCAGTAGTGGAAATTGGGAAATAGCTTGTATGGCCAATCTTTAGGAATTGACAACATAAGCTCTGTTATGTTAATGTAATATTATTATTCCATAAAATGGCAAATATGTAAAATAGATATTAGTGTAGAAAGAGTTATATAAAATGATACATTGTAAAAGAAGTAGAATTAAAAGGACTAATGTTCACTCACCGTGATTGTATAAAAATGACAGCAAGAAAACTATTTTTATCAGTTCTCATAGACAAGAGATTGGAAAGGGATAGAGAACAAATTATTGTTATTTTGTTTTTTCTTTGATGAAGATGGAAATAGTTTGTGTTTTATTTGATATCTTATTTGATTTTTATTTAATCATATTCGGTGAGATTTCTTAAGCTTGTAATATAAAGATGAAACAAATGCAATTTTAGTTTGCTATGCTAGACTGTAAGCTCAGCGAGGGCAGACTAATTCTGTCCAGTATCTTACAAATACCTAATGTTGTAGACAGCATAGTAAATACTTCTTCAATGGAAAAAATGAATGAATGAATAAAGAAAGTGTGTGTACCAGCAAGAGCATTAAATTGTGAATAAGGAGACCTGATTTCCCAGTATGGCTTGGACATTTACTAGTCATATAACCATTGGCTAGTAACTTAACATCTCTATGTTTTAGTTTCCTTATCTCTAAGACAAGGTAGCAATACTGACTCAAACTGTCTCATAAAGTTGTGAGGATCAAATAAGATTATCATCATTAACAACAATAACAACAATAATAAACATTTATATACTGCCTACTATATGCCAGGTACTGTGCTCAACACTTTACAGATATCTCATTTGAAGTGGGAAGTAGATGTTATTATTTTCCATGTTTTATAGATGAGGAAACTAAGCCCAGTAGAGGTTAAGTGACTTGCCTGGGATCACAGAGGGTAGTAAGTGTATGAGGTGGGATTTGAACTCAGATCTTTTAGGCCTGGAGCTCTGTTCACTGAGCCACCTAGCTGTATGAAGTTGTTTTAGAAACTGTAAACCATTATAGATATGTAATACAGTAGTTAATAATAATAATATTTTGTAGATTAATATAGATCATATCTTAATCTATATAACATAGATTAATATAGATTAATAAACTGTTGTCATGTAAAGACCATAGACTCTTAGCATTTTAGAACTGGTTTAGCCCCAAACCTTCTCTTGACATATGCAGAGACAAGTTCAGAGAAACTAAGTGACTTTGCTTTGGAGTCTGATTTATTGAATAGATAATAATAAATTATACTTTGCATATAAATGTTTGTAAGTGTATGCTTCAAATTGTTCTCCATAATGTCTTAAACATTTCTTGGCAATCTTTTTTATATTAGTAATTTATCAAGCTTTTAAAAATATTTTTCTTTATTGGTCCCCCCCCATTCCCCATCACAATCATTTCTCAAAATCTGGCGGTGGGTAGAGGCGTGAGGGGGTGCAGGTGGAGACACAGAACCCCAAGCAGTAAAGCCACTTCATCGGCCATTGATTGCAGCAGCCCACCTCTCCAGGGAGAGAAGATAGGTGTTTGATCCTTTGTCCTCCATTCTTTAAAACCAGGATGGTTCACCTGTAATTAATCTGAATTTATCTGCCCTCTAGTGCCATTTTCATTTACATTTTTAAGCCATTCCATATATTCTCTTTCTTGGTTCCTCTTTCTTCACTTTGTTCATACAGGTATTCTTAGGATTTTTTCCATATGAATTCCTTACATGTCAATAACATTCCATTATATTTATATACCACAGTTTGTTCAGCTATTCCTTAGTCAAAACACCCATCTTGCTGCTCTTTTCTGCCTCAAAATGTACTGCTGTGCATGTTTTAGTGCGTGTGAGACCTTTGTTTCTGTCAGTAACCCTCTGGGGTACATACCCACTAAGGGGATGTCAGTTTTTTTTTCATAGTGTAATTAAAACTTGTTTTGGAGTAGTAGGATCCTAATTAAGAAGGTTATATTTATTTTTATTGATGGGGAATGTTGCATGTCCATCAGAGAGGTCTCCTTTGAACTTTACAAAGCTGCAGATAGACATGTTTTTTACAATGGCAAAATTTCATTTTAAAATAGCACCTTAAACCAGTTTGTTAAGATGATGAATTATCTTTCATCTGCCTAGCTGTGGGAAAGGAACAGTTTTGGTTTGCTTACCTGACACTTTCAAAAAAGAGAGGGAAAGAGACTTAGAAGAGAGTAAACACAGAGAAGAAAAAAATACTTGGGAAGGTAAGGTTAGGATAAACTGTGAAACCTAATCGTTTTTTCCAAGAATATCATTAGGTGGCTTGGACTGGGGACTTAGTGGGTGGCATTGGCTCTCAGAAGTCCCACTCTTTTGATCTGGACTTTGAAAATCTGCCAACTCTGAAGTTGCCTGATTCTTCTAGAACTTTCTCTGAAGATGGGATGCTGATGCACATGGTCAGAAAATTTGTCTTTGACTCAGTCATTAATGGCTGCAGCTAATTCAAAGCAGACCCTGAATGGTGTCTTGTATGTTACATCAGAATTCTTAACTCCTCCAGTTGTTCCAAGATGATTGTTTTCATTTCTTCTCTGCTACTGTGGTCTATAGCATCTGCTTATTGTAGTATTTTCCCCTATTTTTTCTTGTATGTTTTGGAAAGGAGAATGACATAGTGGTTAGAGGGCATGGGGCTGGGAATTTAAAATTCCAGGTTATGTTGTTGGCGCTTTTCTACTTCCTATGAGACCTGAAAGGAAGAATTATCTTAAACCCATAATTTTCAGACTTTTTCACCCTGCAGTTCTTTCTCTTTGCAACTATCCAGTCCACTCATCCTTGTTTTACACACACACACATACACACACACACACACACACACACCCTCAGTCTTTCATTGATCTTGCCAGATTTCCCTCTTTTCTGGAGAGTAGATTGACTAAATCCCTATAACCTTCTTGGAATTATCCTAAAACCCAAGAGTTGCACTCCTGCTTTAGAGGAACAACTGTTTGTGCCTTAGTTTTCTCCATCTGTAAAATGATTAGTTTTAGTATAAATGAGTCAGATGGGTCATTCTATGCACAATTAATGTGATAGAGAAGAGAGGCTGAGAGGGGTCAAGGTAGAGAGGTAATTGTGATTGGGAATTGTTCTGGCACTGTAAATCAGTCTGGGTGTGATTGAGCACATGACTTGAGGGAGCATTGGAAAAGGGTAAAGACCATTGTCTCAGAGATAAGTAAAATGAGAGCCTGGTTGACTCTGATTCTGGTATGAATATGTTATAGAAATGGCAGTATCAAGCAGAGTAAAAATCTTATGAATTTGAACAGAGATACATTGAAATTCATGATAATTTGACCAATCTAGCCTAAAGTTCCTTTTTTGCAATAACCAAAGAATTGGGGAAGCAAATCAGTAAAGTAGACAAAGTAGCAAGGGTTACTTGCTCATGACCTTTGTAACTATGGACAAGTCATTTCATCTCTATGAACATCACTTTCCCTATCTGTAAAACGATGTGGTAGTGCCAGACAATTGTTAAGATCTCTTTTGGCTTTCTGATTCTGTGAACCTCTTCATTTATGTGGTTTATATATATCTTGGGTACCTAACATGAGGAAAGAAAGTAGTTCAGTAAATTGAATAATCACGAATGTTGACTTTGATTTATCTCCACATGTATGCTAGTTCTCTATAATATTTTCTGACAAGTGTATAAAGAGGTATATTAACATTTCATTAACTTCACCGAGTCAAGATGTGATATTGTTTATATAAAGCAATCATGGTGCTTGTGGTACAAAAACACCTCCAGGTAGATTTGGGGTTGCTGAAAATTTTATGGAATGATAGATTTTGAAGTAATTATTTAAAAGAACTTTTATATATATTTCCAATTACATGTAAAAATAATTGTAAAAATTCATTTTTAAAAAAGTTTGAGTTCCAAATTCTTTCCCACTGTCCCTTGAGAAGCCAAGCAATTTGATATGAATTATAATGTTGTCTTGCAAAACTATTAGCCACGTTGAGAGAGAAAACATACCAAAGAAAAAAGAAAGTAAAAAAACCTACTCTTTGATCTGCATTCAGACTCCATCAGTTTTTTCTCTGGAGGAGGATAGCGTTTTTCATTTTAAGTCCTTTGGAATTGTTTTGAATCATTGTATTGCTGAGAATAGCTAAGTCATTCACAGTTGATCATTATACAATATTGTTGTTACTGTGTACAGTGTTCTGGTTCTGCTCACTTCGTTTTTCATTAGTTCATCTAAGTCTTCCCAGGTTTTCCTGAAACTATCCTATTTATTTAAAAGTCTTTAATACATTTTGCAAATATATATCCTTGCATAAGCAAACTCTGTATTGTCATTATAATACCTCTAAAAATGAAATTTTTTTCTTTTCAGTATTACTTCACTGTTCTTTTTGGCCATGAAGGTCAGAAGCCACTAGAGCTCCGATGTGAAGAGGAACATGAGGGTAAGGAGTGGATGGATGCCATTCATCAAGCCAGGTATAATCTTCTCTTTGCTTGTTTTGGAATTAATTTGAAAAAATCATTATATAATTTGTTGGAATGTTACCATTACTTGATAGAAGGATCTTAATATCAATTCTAAGAAAATGTTTGCAATTAAATATCACCTTGGTCAGATGTGTTATGATTGGTTGGTCTTTCTTTAATTATGTCAATCATACCCATCCTGATCTACATAATTATGTCCTTATATTAAAGTATCTAATAAGATTGGTCATTGAGTTATTCTAGAGAAACACAAAAGAGTGGTCAACTTCCTTCCAAGAGACAGTAGGAAAGTGGAAAAGTAGTAAGTTAGACCATAAGTCATCTATTCAAGTAAAATACATGTAGATAGAAGTGTCCTTCTCTTATATCTAATCAATCACCAAGTCCTTCCCAATGGCTATCATGTCTATTTTTGCTTCTCTAGTGCTACTGCCACCAGTCTGGTTCAGGCTGTCATTATTTCATTCTTGTTATTGCTACATAAAATTCCTACCCGATTTCACACTTGAAATTAATATTGCTGAACACTGTTGCCAGATTTACCTGTAAGTAGCACAAAGAGAGTACGCTCTGATTATGTTTTGGCCATTGACATGAAATATGTATGTATGGAGTGCAAATTCATCTCCTTTCTAAAGGAGAAAGTGAAAAGGCTGGTGGAGTGCTTCTTTCTTCATAGAATCACAGAATTTAAGAGCTGGAAAGGACCTTAGTTTCCATATAGTCCAGCCTGTATTGTAATCTCCTCTATAATCCATAAAGACCCCAGTGGAGTGACAGCATTATCCCCATTTCACTTTTGGGGAACTGAATTGGGAAGTTTTTCTTGATATGGAGCCTAACTTTAAATCTTTGCAGTTTCCGCCTATTGTTCATTAATTCTGGCCTCTGAGTGATCTTATCAGTTCACATGGGTTCAATCATTTCTATGCTCGTGATTCCCAGATCTGTACATTTAGCCCTAATCTCTCTCCTGAGCTACAATCTCACATCACCAGCTGCTTATTGGATATTTATCTAATATCTCAACTGCAGTGTGTCCAAAACAGAACTCATTAGTGCTTCTTTGGACATATGTACCTAGGAGTTGAGAGTCCATGCAGAAGCAGAAGCCAGTACCCCACTGGGTACCCTTCTACCCCCAACCAGCTGGAAATCTCTAATGGGAACCACATGTTGGCTAAAGCAGCAGCAGTTCACCTTCCAGCAGCAGCCCCACCATCTGCAGTTACATTTCTTTCTTGCTTCCCCCAGGCAGCCAGCTAGGATTGCCCCCAATGGCTATCATCGCAGCAAGAGTAACAGGGGTTCAACTCTTGGGCACGCTCTTGGTTGTGCCATAACTGATGGCTTCCATAGTGAGACTAATTCCAATCTGATAAGTCCTTGTCAGGAGCCCCGGTGAATGCAAGCAGAGTATCAGCAGCAGTTCAAGCCCCTGACACTGGTAGATAAAGCATTTCTTAGAATGTGCCCAAACCGGGGTGACCTCAAGTTGTATGAGCAATTCAGTGAGGTGTTCTAGCGGTGCAAGTTTGCAGATTTGTTATTATTGTTCAGTCAGTCACATCTAACTCTTCGTGATCCTGTGGACCAACTGTCCATGGGGTTTTCGTGGCCTCAGTACTGGAGTAGTTTGCCATTTCCTTCTCCAGTGGATCCTTTTTTCAGGCAATCAGAGATTAAGTGACTTGCCCAGGATCACATAGCTAGGAAGTGTTTGAGGCTGGATTTGAACTTTGGTTTTCCTGACTCCAGGCCCAGTACTATATCCACTGAGCCATGATCTGCTCAGTTTGCAAATTTAGAAGTAGATGAGCCTAATTGAGACTTTCTAAAAAAGATACAGAAAACTAACTGAAGACCAAATCTAATTTAACATTAAAACATAATTGAGTCAGTCAGGCAACAAGCATGTCTTAAGAGCCTAAAGAAGTCTGAGATCACCAGTACTTTGTTTCTTTGTCTATTTGTTGCCAGTAGTCTTTCATTTCATAGCTCCCTGGGAGGGAGGAGGGTAGTCTCATCGTGCAGATAAGGGAGGCGATATAAAATGTTGGGATTAGGCAAAATGCTTTTGTGGTCTCATCAAAATGAGTGGCTGTGATGCTAACTCTCAGTAAACAGTATCTTCAGTTATGGCTAATAAGTCAAATAATTTCCTCCTGGAAAAACAAGTCAGCAAACAAATCAGAGCTCATTAACTTTCTCCCCAAACCCAACTGTCTTCTGAACTATCTTATTACTGTCAAGGGCACTACATCCTCACAGTCACTTGGGTTTATAGCCTTGTTATTATCCTTGCTTTTTGTTGTTGTTCAGTTGTTTGAGTCCTGTCTGACTCTCTGTCACCCCATTTGGGGTTTTCTAGGCAAAGATACTCAAGTGGTTTGCCCTTTCCTTCTCCAGCTCATTTTGAGATGAGGAAACTGAGGCAGACAGGGTTAAGTGACTTGCCCGAGGTCACACAGCTGTAAGTGTCTGGGGTCAGATTTGAACTCAGGTCCTCCTGACTAGGCCTGGCACTCTATCCACTGAGCCACTTCTTGTATATCCAATCAGTTGACAAATCTTCGTGTTTTCTCATTTCCCCTTCCACAACATCTGTTTTTCTGTTCCCCCACACAGATACCACCCTGCTTTCAGCCTTTCTTTCCTCTCACCCAGAGTATCTCAGTAACCTTGTAATTGGTCTTCCCCGCTTCAATTCCCTCTCCGTTCCATCCTATCCTTTATGCAGCTGCCAAAGTGTTTTTCCTAAAGTGCAGGCCTGACCGTGTCACACTCAAACTCTGCACCCTCCAAAAGCTGCAAGGGCTTCCTATTACCTCCAGGAACACATATAAAGACTTCTCTTGGACATTTAAGACCCTTTACCAACCTGGGCCATTTCTACCTTTCCGTTACTCCCCTCCACACGTTCTACAGTCCAGCCAGACTGCCCCTCCTTCTGTTCCTCACGGGAGATGTTCTGTCTTCTGTCTTTCTGCTTTTGTTGTACCTGTTCTTTGTGCCTGGATTACTTTCTATTCTCCCCTTCACCTCTTCCTTCAAGACTTAGATGCCACCTTCTGCAGAAGGACTTTCCTTGTTCCCCCCTTCCCTTATGATAGTACTTTTCCCTCAAAACCAAAGGTTCCTGATTTTTTTTTTGAGTCATGGATCCTTTCAGTAAACCTGTAAAGTCTTAAAATGCATAAAATGAAATACATAGGATTACAGAAGAAATTCTGTATTCTTTATTCAATATAATTGAATAAAGCCAAGTTCACAGACCCCAGATTAAGAATCCCTGCTTTCAGGTTACCTTTTAATTTCTCTGTTGTGGGTGCCTGCTTATAGACATGTTTTCTTCCCTCCTAGAACACAAGCTACTTGAAGACAGAGACAGTTTTTGGCTTATTTCTTTGTATTCTTAGCAATTAGCACAGTGCCTGGTGGCCAGTAAGCACGTAATAAATGCTTGTTGATTGATTGATTCCCCGTGACAGCCTTTCAAGTACTTGAAGAGAACTATGATAGCCCCCTTGAGCTTTCTGTTTTTCAGGCTAAACATTCCAGATTCCTTCAACTGACTCTATTATGGCATGTATTCAGGGGCCTTCACCATTGTGGTTGCTTTCCATTGGAGACTCTCCAGCTTATAAGTATCTTTTCTAAGATGTGGTGCCCAGAATTGAACACAGTCCTCATGATCTGGTCTGACCAGGACAGAGTATGTTGGATCTACAACCTTCCCCCCTCCCCTCCAGGAAGCTATGCTTTACTTAATGTAACCCAAGATCTCATTAGCTTTTGGTTACCATATTACCTTGATGGATTATATTCTAGAATATATTATTAAATCAATGGTTTATAATTATTTAGAAAATAAAGCAGTGATTACCAAGCGATAGCATAGCTTAATCAGGAACTAATTAGGCTAATGAAGACTAACCTCATTTCCTAAACTGTCAGTCAACCAAATTTTATACATTTCATACACACACACACACACACACACACACACACACGCACGCACACGCAAGTGTGTGTGTGTATGTATTATAAAATATACCTAGATTTAGGTGAAGTGTTTGATTAAATATCTTAGACTGTCCTTATGCATAGATGTGCATTGATGAGATGACAGTGTAGTTTAGAGCATTTAGAATTGATTGAATGACCAGACTCAAAGTAGTACTTTAAGGGTTCAATTTTAGTGTGAAGGGAGATCTCTCTGGTGAGTCAGTGTCCTAGGCACAATTTTTGAGGAGGCCTTGTGTTTAATATTTCTATCAACAGCTTGTTTGTCATCTGCAAAGATGACATGAAGTTGAGGGAGAGCTATTGTGGTAGATGTCAGTCAGGATCTCTATAGACTAGCATGATAGATTGATTCTAATAAGCTGAAATTTAATAGAAATAAATATAAAGACACATTTGGGCTAAAAAGAAATCAACTGCAAAGGAACAGGGATAGGTAGCTAGTTAATGGTTCGTGTGAAAAAGGATCTGGGGAACTTAGCAGATTGTAAGTTCAGCATGGCATGGCTGTCCCCCCTCTCTCTGCCCCCAAGCTAATGAGAGCTTGGGTTGCATTCAGAGAGGCATGGTGTCCCAGATGAGGGAGAGGGTAGTCCTGATGGATTTTCCCATGGTCTTATCAAATCTAAAGTATTGTGTTCCGTTCTGAATGCAATGTTCAAGGAAGGAGACAGGACACTGAAGAATGAATGTCCAGGGGGAGGTGATAGACTTTGAGGTCATGCAATAAGAGGATTGGCTGAATAACATAAGGATGTTTAGCATAGAAGAGAAGAGGCTTGGGGAGGAAGAACTGATAGTAGTTTTGAAGCATTTGGAGGATTGCCATGTGTAACAAGAATTAGACTTTTTTTAGTTCCCAGAGGCTAAGCTGGGAACAGTGGGTAGAAGTTGCAGAGACAGAGTTAGCTTGACAGAAGAGAAGATTTTAACCAATAGAACGGTCCAGAGGTAGAATAGGC